GGAAGAAGTTCAGAAACTTAAGTGAAACCCAAATCATGTGACCAACAATTCTTATTATGAGAAGATAAGAAATGTGATTTCTTCATATGCAGTGAAGATGCCTGGAATTCAGCGTCATAGGATATGTGCATGGGAGAGATTTCCTAGTAAAGAAAATAGATGTGTTGGGCTATCCTTCTCCCCTGATGCTTTTGTAGTCAATGGTATGTGTTGAAAATGATGACTGACCAAACCAACTAAGGGGGAACCAAAAAATGTACATATTTTTTCCTCTAAGTTCATTAATCTTTTTTTTTTTTGGTACGAAGAATCAAATTTGGGACCTTATGCTTGCCAGGCAGGCACTTCATTAGTCATAATGTAGAAAAATTATAACTCTCATAGTTTAACGGATTAAATTTTTCTGCAGAGATCAGAAACTCTTTGAGGATGAGAGGCAATTTTTACCTTTCTGAAGAATGCTTAAGTTTTAAAACAGTGCCCAGGAACTGTGCTTGGTTGGGTTGATCAAATAGACACTGACAGCAGCCTGTATGTGACAAGTATTTACTGACCCACAAATATTCTTCTAATTCTTGAGTCATTATAACAAGTATTTGACATCAATTGTTTTGTTGGGTTAAAATGAGATTGTATGTATTTTGGGTTAAAGGTATAAAGTTCCCACTATTCGAGGAGTTGTGTGATTCTTTGCAGAGACAAAGTAAAACTGCAACACCTGCCTGTTACCCCTCTCCCTTGTTCGGATGCCCATACTGCCCTCCTGCAAACGTTCTTCCAACTGTGGAGAAGTTCCTCGGCTTCCAGTCTTGCATCCTGCCTCTACTTCCCGTGCAGACACTAGGGATGCCGTGGTGTGTCTGTGCTAGTCCTCTCTGTGCTCCAGTGTGTCTAATTAAACACATGGAGACTGGTAGCCACTGGAAATAAACAGGGAGCTGAAAAGTTCTGCTGCTTCACAAAACCTTTGCATTGCTCCCTGCCTTGCCTCGTGGATTCTAAGATCTCTACCGCTTCCTTGTGTTCAGAAACCAGACTCTTCCATTCTCCTGGGTTCAGACAAATGTTTTATATTTTTAAAAAATGACCTATATCCGTCAGGCTGTGGGGAGGGAAGGAAAAGAGTTGGAACAAGCAGCGAAGGAGGGGAGTAGGATTGCTACTGTCTTTGGTTCCATCAGTCAGCCTGCTGTCTTCCTGCCTGGATCTTTTCTTTGTAAAAATGATAGCGTTGTTCATGCCCCGCTCCCAGCAGTGTCCCCAGGCGAGTGCAGATGTGCCGAGCCTTTGGCTGTCTGTGGACCTACGCAGAGAGCCTCTCTTCTCCCTCATGAAGTCATCTTCACTGCAAGCCAGCCTCTCCCATCGCTCCATGGTGGAACTTGGCTTTAGCTCGCATAGTTCTGACATGATGTAGATGGTCTTCTAGCTAAGTTCTGGAGCAATCTACCCAATCATACTCAGGGCATTTACAGGAAAGGAGAAAACTGTTCTGTTGAAAGAAACATTTTGCTAAAGGAGATGGGGCGACACAGAGTCAGGATCTGATGGCTGGGAAAAAAATTTAAGTTTTGGTGGCTTTCTCAGGATATTTGTGTTTAATTTTTCTGAGCAGGAAAAATCCTTTCAGGTTAAAGGACAATGAGACTTTGCTTTTTGCAGGATTTCTTTTTATTTTTTAAAGGAGGCAACAAAGACCTTTATTACATCTACATTTCCTAGAAAAGCAGAGAGTATTTAAAGTGTTGGGTGGAATGTCCGTCCCTAGTCTACAGGGTTTTTTTTTTAAGTAAATGGTTGTGACACAGTCTTGGAGGGTTGGCTTCTTTGTCCACGCCCTTTGGAAGGAGTCAAGGTGCACTGATAACCTGTAGCGTTCCTTCTCACCGGAGTGCACACTTTGCTTCCTTGTGCCCAGAACCAGTCAGAGTGGGGAACTGAAACACGAACTCTTGGTTTTCTGAATTTGAACAGGACTGGAATCTTGTCGTCCCTGCCACAGTAGCAAGTAGTGCCATGTTCAAGGATGCTTCGCCTGATCAATAAAAAAGGAGGACTGAAATGTGACCCTCAAGAACCTGGGAAGAAGGGTTCCAATGAAGATAATGAAATTCCCTGGAGACTCCCCTGCCATCTACACCTTCCTTCTCCAAGGCCTGGGCTGGCTGCCCAGGAGCTCAGCCAAGTTCCTAGAGACAAGATCAAGGCAGGGAAGGGAGGTTCACAGCTCTTGGCTTAGCGTTTCTTGTAGACACCAACCCTATAAAGAAAGACCTTGCTTTATCTATGCCTGGGATCTGGACATTCACATAAACAGCATTCCCAGTGCAACAAAAAGATTTCAAGGGGACTTCTAGAAAGAGAGTGTGATTACTATTTGACTTAGACTTGAGTTAATGGATAGGTAAATGAAGTTTTCCTTATAAAAGCCACCAAAATATTTTACTCTTTAAAAACTTCTAATAGTTTTGTCAAATTTAAAGAATCTTAAAAAGCTGCTTTCTTATTCTCTTTGAGGAAAGAAGGCCCTTGGGAATAGTTACACATAGATATAACAGCCATAGACTCCCTCCTGGATGTACCTGGTGTATTTTCCTTTTTTCATTTTATTCTCTATTTTGGACAACGAAATGGGAAAATCTGCTGTAGCAAAAGAAAGCAAATATACCGGGGATATCATTTTATTTTAGTTGGCAGTCTGAAGAGGCGTTTATTTTCTAAATATACGTTACAACCTAAAGAAGGGGCAAGGCACGCAATATAAAGCTTTTCAACACCCCTGGTAATTTCATTAGTTGAGACCGCCTAAGAAAGTGCTTTGGGTTGTACCACTATTTGGTCAAGGGTTATAATGCTAGGGATGGTACAAGAAACAAGAAACACTGGAGAGGGACAGGATCTCACTTGACAAGATAAAGGAAAACATCTCAGAATGTAAGGCACATTCCCTTAGCATTGCCTGCAAATGGGTGTTAATCTACTCTTAGTCGCTCCTTTATGGCCCATTTCTCCTTTGTAGAACTGCTCTGAACTACGCTGTGAAGGGAGAACGAGGTAATGGAGGGATGATGAGCTTTCAAACTGGCAGATCTGTCACAAAATGGCTTTGGGGAAGTCACTCAAATTCAATGAAACGCAAATGAGAATAATGAAATGTATCTTGGGGCTGGGGATTTAGCTCAGCGGCAAAAGCGCTTGCTTGGCAAGCGCAAGGTCGTGAGTTCGGTTCCTGGTACCGGAGAAAAACCAACCCCCCCCCCAAAAAAAAAAAAAGAAATGTATCTTGAAGCACTCCAGTGAAAGATCTATCCAAATGCCTAGAGTATTTTGCTTGGTTCTTTCCCCATTCTACATAGAGTCATCTTGAATCAAGTAATCTGAGGAAAGCCTCGTGCTAAACGAGTGACTCTGGGAGCATTGCTTTCTGCATTCTAGTTTGCTCGCATATTAAATGCAAAGGCTAAAGTCTGATTCTGTGACTATTCGTATAAATATTTAAGGCAGCAGATTTTAATATTATGAATGGTAGTATAATTAATAATTCACTGCAAAACAAATGGATGTCCAAATGATACATTTGGTAGTTTTGTTACTCGGTGTAGTAAGCTGACAAATAAAATAGAAACGAACAATGTACATTCTGAGAATGGAAACTGCCCTGATAAATCTCCCACCTGTTTATCGTTTAAAACCCATGACTGTGCTGAACGCCTACAACCTAGAAAAGACACGTACAAGAGACCTTGGAAATATGGATGCATAAGAGCCCAGGTTTAAAGATTTAGAGTGAGCTTAAGGCAACCCAATCAAGGAAATCCACAGGGAAAACTGACTTTGTCCTTTATTCACTTCTGTTCTGAATCCTGCCCTTGAGGCAATTTTTTTGAGCAGTTTTTCCGGAGAATTCTGAGGATACTTCCATATTTGTGTAGAACACAAAAGTTCGCCATCCATTCCAGTATCTCTGGCGTTACACTGACATGCATCCCGGACTCACTTCGTTCCCATTGTGTAAAATCATACTTGACTTCAAAGGAAAACCCAAAGTCCCTGTTTTCTGAGGGGCAGAAGCCCTTTGTGTCAACTAGCTGACCCTTTGCTCCCTCAGGTCCTATTGGAAACCTTTTGTGGCACAATGCAAGAGCTCTTCCATGAGTTGGTGTTGTTTACACAGCGGGGCGCGCAGGATTGAAGAGAGAAATTCGCCTAAACACAAGATAGATTTGGGTTCTATTTTCTGTCAGTGTGGAGTGTGATTGATAGATCCACGGAGTCTGAGTTACTCAGAGAAATTATTAAGCATTGTGCTGTAAGGGACACCGAGGAAGGCAGGAAAGGAAGGAAGGAGAAAGCGAGGCTAGATTTATGTGGGGAGGTGCGGATTTGTGGCAGGGAAAGAGGATTCCCTTTGAATCCCACAAGGATTCGCCTGGGGAAATTTCCTCTCCAGTTCTTTATGACCAGGGTCTTTGTGTGTTGCAGGAGGCTGCCCGGCTCCCCGGCGCGCAGGTCCCCCGAGAGGGCAGTGGGGGAATCCTTACACTTTCCCTGCAGGGTTCTGCGGGATCCCATTTTCAGTGTCCCTTACGGGTTGGCAGGAGCCTTCAGCCTGACACTTCTTCAGCTGGGACAGGCAGGCTCTGGGGGCGCACACTCTGGCTGTAGCCAAGTTCTTGGCTGATTTTACAGAGTTTCGGTCGCTCCTACACAGAACGGATCCTGTTCAATTGTTCTGCGCTGGCCTGACCCACAGGAGCCTGGGGCTCCGCTCCCCCTAACTCGGAGCTGGCGGCGTGGGGGGCGGGGGCGGGGAGGGGGAAGGTGGGGGTGCGCGAGAGCGCGGGCGATGTTCCCGAGGGCGCCGCCGCACGGGGCGCGCGGCTGTCCCCAAGCCGATTGGTACTTGTGGTCGGGAGGAGACGGGAGGTGGGAGTGCCGGGAGGGAGGGAGGCAGGCGGTCCCTGCGGCGGGCGCGGGCTGCTGCCTTTCCGGCCCTGAGCCTGCTCTCCGCAGCCGGGCTCCTAGGAGTGGCTGGAGCCGCGGGGCGCTTCTAGAGCCCGTAGATGAACCCTCCTCCTCTGCCTCCGCCTTCTGCTCGCGAGTCTCCTCCTCAGCGCTGACGGTACAGTGATATAATGATGGTGGGTGTCACAACCCGCATTTGAACTTGCAGGCGAGCTGTCCCGAGCCTTTCTGGGGAAGAACTCGAGCAGCAGCAGGCGCGGCGCACAGGCGCTTGGGACCGGGACCCGCGTGCGCCGGCAGAGCATCCTGCCTCGTCCTCCGGCACCGTCCCGCGCCGCGTCCCGGGCCACCGCGCTTCTATGTGACCCTCCCCTGCCACGCCGACCACATTCGCACGGTGCTGCGGTGAATTTTCCCCCCAAACAGCAAAAAGCCGCCTTTCAAGGTAATCGCGTTTCTTTTGTTCCCCCTTTAAAGGCAAAAAAGCGAAGAAAAAAACTTACAGGGGGAAAAAAAAAATCGCGTGAGTGTTTTCAAAAAGGAACACTGCAATTGGTCGAGGTTTTAATGAAGGCAAGGAGAACCGGAGACCGGGAGAACTTGGGAAAACGTGTGCAGTTCCCTGCAGGTAACTTTCCCCAGGGCGTTGGAGAGGACGCGGGGACCACGGGCTGGGAAGATGCAGACAAAAGAAGCCGGCTGGGTGGGGGCAGGACTAGCGGGACCGGGAAGCGGCGAGTCGCGCTGTCCTGGAAAATCGTGGGGTCGGGGCTGGAAGCAGGGGCGGAAGCCCGGGCACCCTCCTTTTGCTGCTGCTGCTGTTAATCGACTTGAGGCAAAGTTTGAATGGGGCCCGCGAGGCTCGCCCGCTTGCACTTCCCAAGCCACGCCGCGCGGGCCACCGGCTCTCCGGCCGCGGGCGTGGTCCGTGCCCAGCGTGCCTGGAAAGCCGCTCGCGGGTGGCGCCGGACCGTGCGCTCGGGTGTGCTGAGAGACCCGCGCGAGCGCGCGAGGTCCTGGGCTGCGAGTCGCCCGGCCCCGAGCTGCGCCCCTGGGACACTCGGGATTGACACTTGGGCTTGCGCCCGGGGTTCTTTTGTCCCGCGCGCGGTGCTGGCGCTGCGGGGACCGCGCAGGGAAGGGGGTGGGGCTGCTGAGCCCTGCGGCGGCCGGGGAGGCCGAGGCGGGAAGCTTGCGCTGAACCAGCAGGGATTTGCAAGGATTTTTTTTCTCCTCTCCCTGGAGAAACTTGGGGGCTGCGGCTCGAGCCTGCGCCCACAAAGCAGCGCCCGGGATTCTGCAGACAAAGGTGGCACGGGGACCCGGTCGCCTCGTCCCCACCCCGCCCCGCGCAGCTCTGGTCCGTGGAGCAACTTTCCCGGCCGGTGGAGGGCGTGTCCCAGAGTCCTCCGAGCCCCGAGCCCCGAGTCGCGGGACGCGCGCGCTGCAGCGCGACTCCTGCGCGTCCGGGTGTTCCCGCGCGCTCCCGAGTCACCGGTGGCGCGGGGCGCGCACCACCGGGTGGAAAAGTCAAGTGGTGGCTTAAAGCATTCACTCTGGGTCCAGCTGCGCCCCGGCCGCACCTTTTGTCCCCGCGTCCCCATCTTCGCACCTCCGCCGCGCCCCTCCCCCTCGGGCACGCAGGAACGGGCGGGGGACCCCGCGCCCCGACGCCGAGGGAGGAGCGAGCCAGGCGAGCGCTCCTTCGGGTCCGCCTCCAGCCCGGAGGTCCCGCAGCCAGGGCTTGTGGCGGGCGCTGGCGCCCCCTGATGGAGAAATCCCGCGCGGCGGAGGCAGGGGACCCCGCGCCCGCCCCCACGCAGCCGACCGCCTCCCCGACGCGGGCTCGGGTGGGAGGCAGAGCCCGAGACACACAGCGCGCCTTCTCCCTCCCGGGCGGGACCCACGGCGCTGGCGAGGGGGGACGGGAGACGCAGCGGGTCTGAGGGCAGGGACGGATCGAGAGGCGTTGTACACGTGGACCCCCGCCCCAAAATGTGGACGTCGGGGTGCGGGTGGGGCCGGAGGTGCGGCCTCCGCCACTAACACGCCCCGATGCGGCGGGCGCAGAACGGCTCCTGCCCGGCGCCCGCTCGTGCCGATTCCCGCTTCCCAGCCGGCTGCAGACCCGGGCCGGGCGGGCGGAGCGCGGGCTGCGTCACGCAGGACCGGCGGCGGGGAGGGGCTGGGCTTCCGCGGCGGACCCGCGCGCAGCGGAGGGCGAGCCGGCCGTGGCCCAACTTCGGACGGAGGGCGGCAGGAGGGAGCGGAAAGGCCAGGGGCGGGGCTGCTGGGCTGGGCCGGACCCGGCCGGGATCGGAACCTCGCCGGGCTCTCCCCATCACGCCCGGCTATCGCAGCCTCGGCCCCGCTCCTGTCCCGGCCGGGACGGGCGCGACTTCCAGAGGGCGGCACGGCCAGGCGGGCTGCGGGCTGGGGCGGGGCGGCAGGCGGGGCCCTGGAGCGGTCACCCTCGCCAGCCGTGCGTCCTGTTCTTCCACCGCCTGCAGCCCAACTGGTCCAGCTGCCATCCAGAGGGCGCCCACCGTCTTAGGCTGCTTAAGTTGTATGAGGCGGAGAAGTGGCCCTAGGCTGGGTTGCCCAGGTTGGGCTTGAACTTGTGAGCCTCCTGCCTCAGCCTCCCAGAGTGATGCGGTTCCATGGTGCGCCACCACGCCCAGCTTTTTTCTTGCTTCCTGTTGTAGGAGAGGTGTACCTTTGGCATAAAAGTGAGACGCCCTTATCCTGTGCTCCACGTTCTTTTTGTGGTACCGGGAATCGAACTCAGGACCTTGAGCTTGCTGGGCAGGTGCTGTGCCGCGGAGCTCTATCTCCGGCCCTCCATGTATTTTAAATATATTTTTAAAATATATCCCTCTGTCTACAGACCATTTCATAGTTAATTATAAGGTGGATCACGTTCCACGCTGTCCTAGAGCCTTTGTCTAGAATGGCAGAAGTTTGCCACGCAAGACTGGTGGAATTCTGGAGGGAAGCCCAAAGGGGAAAGGTCTAACTGAAGCCCTAACTGAGCAGGGTACACTCTGGGGGCCCACAGTGGGCCTAGCCCAAGTGCAGGATTGGCACGGACTCACTCAGTGAGCCAGTCTGGGAGCTGGTGGGGACTAGGAGTTCTACTCAAGGGCAGAGTTTTGATTCTCCTGGTTCTTCTGCTGTGGAAGAACTGGATTGTAAGGCTCTCGTCTGGCACTTTGAATTCTCTAGCAAGTTGACCCACTTTCCTTTTGTATTTGGTTCCTTGGAAAAGCTGTGACCTAAGTTGTTTCGAGTACTGCTTGGAGATTGTGGCAAACTCATTGTGAAAATATTTATAGGAAGTCCTAAAATAGGATGTGGTGAGTTTGATATAAGAATAGGAAGGCACCAGTGGAAGGAAACGTTTTCGGAGAAGGCAGAACTGGTTTCCCTTTGGGGAATTGGTGGTTTGGAAGAGCGGGCTCTGGGGGAGACATTCCCCAAGGGTCCACTTTCTAGTTCTGAGCTCTAAGTCAAAAAAGGAATACGCTGCAATTGTCTAGGTTGCCCGCACTAATACTGCAAAGGCCCCACAGATCCCTAAGTGACTGCGCAATTGCTCCTTCTGCAGGAGTCCACAGCGCTTCCTCTTCTGCGCACGTGGTGGGAAAAGTCTGAGGTCCCGGACGGCCGAGTAGGATTCATGGAAGAGTCCAAACTGTGGTTTTTCTTAATAGATTAAAAAAAATAAAGTTCGTCCTCAATTATATTCCTTGCTTTTGAAGAATGAATCTAGAAAAGAAATCTACTTAGGGTTATTTGTGTTTTTTGATACAGGTTTCTGCTTTGTTTTTGCAAATTGAAGGGAAACATATCTGTTGTCCAAGATTTATACAGGACAACATATCTGTTGTCCAAGATTAGTACAGGACAACGTATCTGTTGTCCTGTATTTAGCCACTAATAAAATTTGTGTGGGGAGGTCTACAGAGCTAATTAGGATGGAGATGATCAGTGTTGCAGATTGTTTTCTCTTATTTCACTCCTGTGCATAATTTCTCTGTGGTTAACGATTGGTCAACTAATTGAGCATCACAGCCTTCGAGAACCCAAAGATCAACTTACTGTCCCCCAGCGTCCTATCGTGAAGCCCTCCTTTCCTGGTGGAGTTTAAACGTCTTGGTTACCTTTACTCGTGGACAGACGTCAAGGGTCTCTGTATTTAAGATGGGGCGCAGCTCTGGGAAGGAGTGAGTGGTGCTCCAGACACGGGGTTCTTTTTCAGAAAGACTGAATGACGTGTCCTAGGCTGCTTTTCTACCACCCACCTAGAGAAACCGGTTGGGACACTCACGGTGGGAGGCGCCTCCCTCTCTGAGAGGAGATGCTGATTGTCACCTGGGCTCCTTCTCTTATTCTACCAGAAAATAGGAAGCCTGTGTGCCCGGTGATCTGGAATGAGAGCAAGGGGAAGTAGAGATAACTATCTTGGCCAGGCTCCACTTGGCTTACTGAGTTTTTGCCAGTTTTCTTTCTCATTCATACATATATGTGCACGCAGGGGTTTTGGACACTTAAGTTCTTATTGCTCCACATGCTGAAAGTGCTTGTCTTCCAGTTGCCAGTACAAAAGGTCTTGGTTTAATGAGTTTGCCAGTTATGTTTCCTAAAAGTCTCTGGATAGACCATGCGTCTATAGGCAAGTACTAATGCAGGTCTGCATTTGTATTTATTTCAGTATCTATAGATAGCCTACTTAGTTCTTCTAAGAATTTTAAGAGATGTTTATGTGTCTAAGGTGAAATTACATATTCTATAATAAACATGTAATATGTAATAAATTATAACCTTTTGGCTGTTTAATTACTGATTTGATATTCCTTGAGGTTTAGCAGAATAAGCATTAAACTTGGAGTTGGTAAGCTTGAGTTGGACTCTTCAGCTGGGAAAACCAAATTCAGGCAAAACCTTTGGATGCTCAGTGTCATAATCTAATAAATGGATATTTGGTTAGAAGATCAAAGGAATAAATACCTAGGAAAGGGCCGTCACAAATGGAAAACCACACAAACAAGGGGTGTTAATGTATGATGCCTAACCAATTCATATTGACCCAATTCTGTAATGTTACTAATAATAGCAGTAAACTATGTATGTGTATTGTCAACTAAACCTATGAAATGAACCACACAAAGGCGTACAGTTTTACACATTAGGGAGTACCATTGATCAGAAGACAGAATTCAGAAATAGATACAAATGATGTCAACATTCACTGACAATAAGGACTATTTCATAAATAATTTTGGGACACTTGATAGGTCAACTCAAAATAAAAACCAATCTCTACCTCATTTGTCATCCTAAAAGAAATTGAAGGTGAATCCAAGTGAAATGGAAGGAATAATATTATTTGAGAAGTTACTGGGAAAAAATTACTAGAAGTGACCATGAGATTTTGAAAAATAA